ACTGTTGAAGGATAACACAGTGAACCATGAGAGTAAGGGCATGTCCATATGTCATAGGCCTCTATGCATCGGCGTAAACCCTAAAGGCTCAACTCTTACACTCCGCACCTCAAGCCCGAAATGTACCCCCAAGTCTCAATCAGTCCTCGGCCGGGAGGCAGCCGTCCAGTTCGAAGTGGCAACCAAAGAATTCCTGGCCCATGCGGGCCTACATTTATGTTACCAGAAGCAACATAACAATCGCTGATATTGGGGCCTTAACAATTAGAATTGAATAGGATTTTGGGGCACATTACGCTATAATTAGAATGAGGAACCCCCCGAAACAGTATTGGTAGTTATTTAGGCCCCTACCATTATGCTATCAGTTGCAATTGTCGCTCAGCGCCTGACAAAGCCCGAATGACGAGTCGGCGTCGAAAGGTCACAAACCGACTTGTCGACACGAATCCCGAAGCCATTACACAGCCATGCCCCTTCTGTGTGTGTGTGTGTGTGGAGTCAACAGTTCAAGTATGCTTAAGCACATAGCCCAACCGTTTTCGTCTTGCGGTTTTTCCCGAATGCATGATCCACACCCTTTGTTTTGGCAGACCTTGCGTGGAGCAGGGTCCATCTGCTTAGGCGCTGGTGCAGCCTCTGCAGCTTCCGAGCGGTTGGAACACCTCGGTCACCCCACCCAACCGGAAACTGTGAGCCCTACATCCCAAAGGGTCCATGTACCAATATAGTAGTTACTTAGTAGGTATTTGGGCCCCAAAAGTATATACTATACTATTACTTGGACCCTTTGGGCATGCCGTTCTCAGCCGGGCAGCTCTACCAGCTTGAAGCGGGAGGCATACCTTGCCGGCAATTGAAGTTCGCATGCGAAGGCTCAACCTCTAAGGAACCAATCGACGCTTTCTCGGTCAACTGAGATCACAAGGGCCTTCAAGAGAAGAAGAGACCTTAATGTAGGGGCCTTAATAATTAGAATTGGGTTTTGGGTACCTGTATATATAGTATAATAAGGAACCCTAACAAGAATATGGGTAATCATTTAGGCCCCTATATTGGTCCAAACCCTTATTGAAGTCACGGGACTGGGTTTGAGGTACGGAGGTTCCTAGAAGGGAGGGAATGCCGCGGAAACTGAGCCCTCGGGTTTAGGGTTTAGGGTTGAGCCCTAAGCGCTGAAATCGTGAGCCCCAAGTCGTACTCTCTTCGGCGTAGCTCTGAAGAATGTCCTCCTGCAGCTCTCGAGTTGTCGGGTATTGGCTTTTAGAGCTTTGGGGTATTTCTTAGGGCTTGTGGCTTGGGCAAGGCGTCACCGCAGTCTTGGCTGCTCAGCAATTAAAACCTGGGGGTTGTTTTTAGATTCTACTTTGGACATTGTTGCTGTTCTAGAACATCTCTTTGCCAAAAGACAAGCACAATCATGAATGGCAACCTTTAGTTTAACCCCTGCCCCGACAGAATCCTCAGTGTGCACGCCCTTGGTTCCAAACTAATTTCCTTTCCATGCACAAGTTTTATCTCAGGCGTGTGACGGTTTACTTGTTTATGTTTCAAGCCTCGGAACCTTTAAACCCGTCCTAAACCCTAAACCCTATAAGCCCTAAACCGAAAACTCATTTTCGGGCGCAGATCCTAGACCCCAAAGCCCTGAACCCACGGTTCGGACTTATGATCCCCCCTTTGGAGAGTCTAGGGTGTTTAGGGATTAAGGTCTAGGGATTACGGTTTTGGGTTTAGGGATTAGGGTTTAGGGACTTCAAGGCTTGAAGAGTAAGCCTTTCGCCTCCTTCTGTCGTAGGCAGCCTAAGATACATATCAATCAAGCCCAAGCGCAGTATATGTGCGGCTATACTCCCAATGGTAGGGGCCAGAAAAATCGATCACCAGTGCTGTTTCTGAGGGCTCCCGTGCGCAACTGTGCTCTCAAACACCTCAGATCTCTAATTCTCATTGAGGCCCCTATATATGGAGCCTAGGAACCCCGCTGACATGCCAAACCTGAGACTTAAATTGCATCTCAAAAAAAAACAAATCGCAAACGACCTTTCAAGCAGTCTGGCTTTACAAAATCATTCGTAACGCCTGAAGCCGAAACTACCGCAACCCCGGAGCCCCAACACCGCAACCGTAATTTAGAGGCCTTGATAATTAGAATAGGGCTTTGGTGGGGCCCATTATACTACAATTCTAATAAGGGACCCCCCCCCAAAAAAAAAAAAAAGTAATTGTTTAGGCTTCTATACTAACCGTATACCGTTGGCGCGAAAATTTTGGGGATCCCCTATGAACCCCTTATAATGAAGCTCAATAAGGTAGGGACATCCATCTAAAATGCTTATTATGCTTATGTATTTTGGGGGCTCCTCTATAGACCCTAAGCCCCTAAACCCCTTAAGGAACCCTTAAAGGAACCCATTAAGGGCTACTTATAGCTACCCATGAACCTCCAACTAGACCCTGAACCCCAAACCTCCTTAAAGAACCCTTAAAGGAACCCATTAAGGGCTACTTATAACTACCCATGAACCTCCAAGAAGACCATAAACCCCTAAACCTTTAAGCAGCCCTTAAAGGAATCCATTAAGGGCCACTTATAACTGCCCATGAACCTCCAAGTAGACCCTGAACCCCAAACCTCCTTAAAGAACCCTTAAAGGAACCCATCAAGGGCTACTTATAACAACCCCTCAAACCCCTTAAGGAACCCTTAACGAACCCTTTATAAGGAACCCATTAAGGGCTACTTATAACCTCCTTAAGCAAACCTTAAAGGAACCCGTTAAGGGCTACTTATAACTACCCATGAACCTCCAAGTAGACCCTGAACCCCAAACCTCCTTAAAGAACCCTTAAAGGAACCCCTTAACGGCTACTTATAACAACCCCTCAAACCCCTTAAGGAACCCTTAAGGAACCCTCAATAAGGAACCCATTAAGGGCTACTTATAACCTCCTTAAGCAACCCTTAAAGGAACTCATTAAGGGCTACTTATAACTACCCATGAACCTCCAAGAAGACCATAAACCCCTAAACCTTTAAGCAGCCCTTAAAGGAATCCATTAAGGGCCACTTATAACTGCCCATGAACCTCCAAGTAGACCCTGAACCCCAAACCTCCTTAAAGAACCCTTAAAGGAACCCATTAAGGGCTACTTATAACTACCCCTCAAACCCCTTAAGGAACCCTTAAGGAACCCTTTATAAGGAACCCATTAAGGGCTAGTTATAACTACCCATGAACCTCCACGTAGACCCTGAACCCCAAACCTCCTTAAGGAACCCATTAAGGGCTACTTTTTGACCCCTGGAAGGATCCCTTAAAGAGCCCTGAAAGAACCCTCTTATAGATCCCTTAAAGGAGCCTTATAACCTCTACGCTCTACCCTAAACCCTAAACCCTAAACCCTAAACCCGAAACCGCACCCTTATAGGACCCTCTCATAGGATCCCTTAAAGGAGCCTTATAGTCAGCTTTTTGCAGCCCGGAGACGGCCCCGCTGAGGCCCTCGCGGCGTTCGCCAAGCAGCGACCCATCTCTCTCCGAACCGGCACGGCTGCGGAGACACACTGGGTTTAGGGGTTTTAGGGCTTTAGGGGTTTAGGGTTTAGGGGTTCAGGGTTTAGGAAATTAGGGGTTTAGGGGTTTAGGGTTTAATTAGGGGTTTGGGGTTTTAGGGTTTAGGGTTTCGGTCTAGGGTTTAGGGTTGGTTCGGAAACGCCTTGTTAAGTGACTTGTTCAGCAAGCTCTCCATCTTGCGGCTTCGTTCGGCCCCATGGGGAACGAGATGATGCTGACAAGGATGGTGAGGGTTTAGGGTTGAGGGTTGATAAGGGTTTAGGGTCTAAGGTTCAGGGCTTCCACGCGGCAAGAGATAAGGAGGATGCTGTGGAAGCAACCCTTCAGCATGAGCCTCAGCACTTCCAGTAAATCAGGGTAGTCCAATATTGACCCTGAAGAATAGAATTCTTCTTAAAACGGGATTCCTCTAACGGGATCTGGAGTGTTCGGAAACTCCCCATCTTAGTGGGGCATGGCAGAGTGTTGAGAATTGAGACTGCTCTCGTGAGGTCGCTAGGTGTGGAGGGATACCACCGGCAAGATGTTTGGGGTAGTACGCAGCTTAGAGCCGCTTTCAGAATAATCTGTACGAAACTCCGACTAACAAAACCCTAAACCCTAAAACCTAAACATCCTAAACCCTAAACCCTAAGCCCTAAACATCCTAAACCCTAAACATCCTAAACATGAAGCTGAGTTCTCTTCGCAAGGCCGCGCGAGAGGCGCAGGTCCCTGGCAGGCCGTCGTTCTCAAGCTCGTGGATTCCGCAGAAGAGGACTACGCGCCGAACCAGGGGTAGGGTTTAGGGTTTAGGGTTTAGGGGTTAGGGTTTAGTGTAGCATCTTTAGGTGTCCGTTTAGGATTTAGGGCTATGTGGTGTAGACAGGTACGACTTTAGGGTTTTCTATAGGGGTAATCGATTACTGGTTGACTGGCTTTGAGTCTAAACATGCGAAGCAAAGCTGAGCTCGGAGGGCTGAGGCTTGTCTTTAGCACCCCTGAACCGAAGACTGACCTCCAACATGCATAAATCATAAATAAGGGTTTCCAGTAAAGGTACCCTAATATAGTACCCTAAATAGTAGGATCCTTACTATAAGGATCCCCAAATACGGTACCCCTTATTTTCGGAAACTCCCAAATCTGTAAAAGCCCCACACAAAGAGCAAGCGACTCGCCTGAGCGTGTAGCGGTCGGGGAGAGATTCCATCACCTCTTGGCGTGCCATGAAGGGCTCTTTAAAAAGGGGGTTCTAGTGGGGTAGTCATCAAAATTATGGTCCCTTTCGGGTTACCCTAAATAATAGGTGCCGTATTATAAGAAGGACCCAAAAAGGGACCATGATTTTGACAACCACCCAGTGGGCAAACACCTGCAAATGAACATGTCTGACGTGGCCGTGTGACACATCCACATCACTTGAGTGGTTCTAGTGGGGTCTCAGGGTGTCGTGTGCAAGGGGCTATGGGGTTGAGGGCTCAAGGCTTTAGGCTGTTTGGGTGTTTTGGGATCAGGGACCTCCACGCCGACATCCCTGAAGGAGAACTGGGCAATCGATCCAGCACGAAGGCTGCGATGTAGGCTGACGCCGATGATGCAACGGGGATCTTCGGGTCGCACCTGCTGAAGGACGGCATTGAACTTCTGCCCCGCGAAGACCCGGCGAAGAGGCCCAAAAAGCTCATCCAAGGCCGTCCTGCACTTCGCAGAGGGTCTACTTGCGCTCCTCGATTTGTGAGACGGTGTATCTAGGCACACGCCGACCATCTACGAAGTTATAAAAAGTGCATGCCTGCCGTCATGCTAACCTTCCCTGACTTTGTGTCGCTCCTAGTCTCTCTCTCTCTCTCTCGCGTTCTCCCTGATCTAACACCGGCCCAAACACCCTCGATAGCTTACGTGCTCTGAGTTTCCGGGCTGCCATCATGCTAATCTCAAAACGCGGCCTAAACCTTCAACCCACAAGGAGGACTGCCCTCAAGCAGCTGACGTACACCCTGAAACCGAAATCCCGCTCAAAGCCGGTCCTCTCCATCGTCGGCTCAATCTCACGCAGAGGCTGCAAGATGAAACCCACAATGGGAATCTGCAGGGCCTGGACTAAAGACTCTAGGACCTTAGGACCTTTAGTGTTTAAGCTAGAATTGGGTTTAGGTGTTCGTTTTGGGGGTTGCATTTTCGATGTTAAGGGTCGGGGCCTCGGGAACACAGCCACAGCCTCAATTCCAAGGGCCGACTTTGAGGGCTTCACAGGCGTTTCAACATGATTGCTCTTTAATATACGGGCCTGAATAATTAGAATAGGGTTTTGGGGGGTATATACTACGATATACTATAGTTGCAATAAGGAACCCCCCCCCAAAAAAAATTAGTATACATAATCATTCAGGCCCATATATTCTGCTGCTTGTCCTGGGTATTCCTAAATCCATATAACCGCTAAGCCCATGCACATGCGCAAGCCATCTGCTTCCGGGCCCGAGCCGTGTGTGGCTTTAAGGGTACTGTTCTAGCCTACTCGGATATGCAAGTCCGTTGTGCTGTTGACCTGTGGCAAGCCAGAATACTCTCAGAAAGACCCCTGCCTCTGAAATAATCATGGCGACGTGGATCATCAGGAAGCCAAAGACGATGAATGTTGGTCTCTCCTGGAAACGGATGCTCGCAGCAGAATGAACTTATGCTTCTGAGTTTGACAGAACGACTCACCAGCGTGGTGGTTACCGATCGCAAGTCACTGCAGCGTCTCGAGAAGTTCCCATGCCGAGCCTACGACAACGACTGCCGTGCATGGACAGAAATGGTGCTGGACATTCAACGACAACGATGCATGTTGGCCGAGTGTTGGACGCAGACCAAAGCAAGATGCCCTACTGTACAGCTTGGAGGCATCTTCACATGCTGCAACAGGATAATTATGTTCCTTACGACTGCGTGGAAAGGCCTCCCATGCCCAGTGGAAGAAGCACCCTTCTGAGCTGAAGAACTCCACCTGCAATGCTGTGTGTGACCGGCAAGCTTGCTGCACACAAAGCTGATAGCCGTTGATACTCCTAGTATAGCGATAATGCCATGGCGCTGTGCCGAGAGCAACCATAGAATGCATGCGTTGGTTTCGTTTCCTCTTCTGGCCGTTTCGCATCATCGTACAGCTCCATGCTGATGAAAGTCTCAATGTTGGTACGAAGCGTCGCTTGCATTGAAAGACTGACTTTTGTTCACGACCAACTTCAGACACCTGCAAATCTGCTCCCTCACGATTCTCAGGAGGAACAGAATCAGTTGGATGTAGGACAACATGTAGGATCCCAAAAAATGACCTTCTGTCGGCCGTTCCAAGGTATCTAACCTGTCATTACGGTGGGGCAACTTGGACCGCGCAGGTTCAAGTCCACAAGCCCTTGACTGCAGCGCGAAACCTGCAATATTAAGACATCACATCTTGGCGCCAGACAATACGAAATCTTAATTCAAAAGCTGTCTTTCCGCTCGCAAACACATCGAGTCCTGACCCGCCCGAGATTCGAAGTCCTACACCCCAAAACCTCCAAAACTAGTGATACACACTGGACAGAAGCCTGAACCCACAAAGCCGTGCAAGAAGTTCATGAAACTTCAAAGCTGTACATGCAGCCAGCCTCAGAGCGAGAAAAGACGAGGGCCTGCAGAGCCAGAGAATCCTGCCCAAGGCCTGGGCGGAACGCGTTGCCCTTTAAAAGGGTTTAGGGTTTAGGGTTTAGGGTTTAGGGTTTAGGGTTCTTTACCCTCTCTTGGAGAAATCGGGAGGCTGGAAGCGGGCGGAGTGGAAAGAGGTCCACGGCCCTAAACAATTCAATCACGAAACCCAATTAATATAGTGGCCTTAATAATTAGAACAGGGTCTTGGGGTCCTTTATAGTATAACTACAATAAGGAACCACCAAAATAAAGTAGGCAATTTTTGAGGCCCCTATATTATACGTTCAACCCGATAGCTTTCAAACCTTGTAACTTCTGGGCCTCCAAATCCTACACCTTAAGATATATGGCTTCCCTACCTCCTGAACCTCAAAACCCTCCAACTTCTGGGCCTCCCGACTTAGAACAAACCGCGCCATGTCTCCGGAGACTCGCCGCGAGGTGTCCCCACCGCAGGGCCGGAACCGGAGCCGGCCCTGGTAGGGGAGCGGAAGTTCCTGCCGAGAGGTGCCGCTCGGTTTAGGGTTTAGGGTTTAGGGTTTAGTTTAGGGTTTAGGGATAAGGCTCCTTTAAGGGATCCTATAAGAGGGTTCTATAAGGGCTCTTTAAGGGATCCTATAAGGGAGTTATGAGTAGGGTTATGAGTAGGGGACTTATAAGTCCACCTATAACTACCCCATGAACCTCCAAGTACTGCGGATTACAGCTGTTCAGGTTTAGTGTTTAGAGTAGGGTTTAGTAGGGTACTGCGCATAATGTAGGTGCCTGAATGATAAGAACATTTAAGGGCTCCTACCAGGGTTGAGAATAGGGGCCTGAATAATTATAACAGGATTTTTGTGTATATTAGACTATGATTGTAACAGGGAACCCCAAAATAGAGTAGGTAACCATTCAGGCCCCCATATTACAACTTTTCATTATACTTGGAACAGGACAAGAGTAAGAGTTCAGGACGGTTCAGCTGTAAGTCAAGCATAGGAAAAAGCTCAGGGTGGCATGTGCGGCTCCCCACTCAAGCAACACCGCTTTCGATCCTTGATCAAGGACATGCGTACTTCAAGAAACGGTTAACTAATCCTACAACCTGCTGAAAGAACATAGGCATGTTGTCTTCGGAGCTGTGTGACACCAAACTGCAATATCTCCGAAATGTCCTCGGCAGCAGACTTCACAAAGTTCTTCCACAGCAGCTCGGTGACAAGAACTACATCGCAGTTGTGGTACAGGATCAATCCTGGCGCGAGTGCAGATTGGAGTTTGTACACACAGCACAGCTTAAACTTTCTGCAGTTTCGCGCATGCTGAAGCATGAAAGCAGAACCCCTAGCGAACCCTTACACTACAAAACCCTGACAAATACAAGGTGCCCTAGCCTTTGCGCAACATGCTTCGTCCAGAACACACGGGGAACCAGCTCCACGTCGATTGAAAAATGGGAAATGCGTGCACAACTCGCAAGCGGAACTCAGCGACACTACTCCGAAGTATACCCCGAAGCACGAAATGCAGCCATGATAACCCTACAGTTGACCCTAAAACTACTAAACATCCTAAAGCTTAAACCCCAAACCCTAAACCCTAAACCCTAAAAATACTCAAGACCTCTTCACGCTTGATCCTTCAGGGCTCGGTGGTCCTCGGGCCAACGCCACAAACGGTTGGACGTCGCCTCGTGTCCCTCGCGTCATCAGCATGACCTCTCGGAGTGTCTAACTTTCGGCCTCTATGCTTGGAGAAGGGCCTGGGGATGTGTTGCAAGGAAATTCAATTGTTTACTATGAGCACGACAAAGTCATATGGACAATGAAGGCGATATGACTTATTGACGCATCAGACCTGTAGCTCGCTATAAAGACACTGGGAGGCAGGGACACCCCGAAAGGAAAGACACATCTGTACTTTCAGTTTCATGACCTACAGTAACCCTTAACCCTAAACCCTAAACGGACCTACAGACTTTTTTGGACGTGACCGCACTTGAGGCTTATCATCGGACCTTGGCCTTGCACCGCTCAGGCGAAGGCCATCACACATTCAAGGATTCTGTCTGTAAAGATGCAATAGTCCAGGGTCCAGGCAATCGAGGGTCCAGCTTAGTACAATCGTTAACAGTGGCTTCCACATAAACCCATTTAAACCTCCCCCCCCGGCAAAATCCGTCTTAAGGTCCTAAAACCGTAAACCTTGTCGTATCTTTGAGGGCGCCTTGGGTCGACTGGAGTTGGTCACCAACGATCCGATGGAGGATCTGGTATCCTCCTGGCTGCTAGGAGAAGCTGTGCTGACAGGGCTTTAGGATTGGGGTCTTTACGGTTCGGGACGAAGGTGGATGCGAGGTGTAGTATGTTGTGGACCCCATCCGGGCGAATTTGAAAAAGTGCAGATTGAAAAAACCAGGGGGCCATAGCCTAGAACAACCTTGGGCTTCCGTGCTGGCCTCAGGGGTCCTGAAACCCTATAAACCCTAAACCCAAACATCTCCTGTCGTGAGGGCTCCGGTCGGGACGGGCGCTCGAGCATCGGCATCGCAAGGTTTTCCTGTGAATGGCGATGCTCGTATCAAGATCCAAGCAGGTCGGATTCGTCTTGCGAACGCCTTGCGGTTTCTACGTGAACATACATACTTTTCTATAATTAATTACTGAACTTGCCAATTTACGAAATTGCTTATCAATTGTCTTCTGTCTTAAGGAAAGCCGCGCAAACTGCAGAACCAGCTACAGCGTGAAGAATCAAAAGGCCTGTGAGCCAATCTAGCACTTCGCTTAACCAGAACCCTACCGTCCCAGCACGCAATCCTCAGCAGTTTTCACCCGAAAGCCCATTGTCAGAAGTTGAATGCCCTGAAGCCCCACGTGATCACATAATCATAACTCGCCTCCGAAGCGCCTGAAAGGCCTTATAAGCCCACAGGCTTTCGAAGAGGCGTTCGTAGACCAACGAGTCTGAAACCCAACAGTGCAGACCCGAAGATTTGAGGGCAGTCGGTGTGGCGTCCCCGTCAACAGCCGATCTGAGCATTGCCGGGATTTTTCTCCACGCACAACACAACCACAGCGTGTCTTCCTGTTCCGTCGATGATGTTCGTGGTGGTGATGGTACGAAAGGGGCCTGAATGATTTCAATAATGTCTTGGCATCGTTTGTCTAACCCAATCTTACCTGTGAGAAGCCCGTGGCTCTCAGGGCCCACGGCTCAATAGGCTTTGGGCGGCCTGAGTGCTGGCTCTACTCGCTAGCGCGGGTGGACACGCGATGTATGTTACGCAATACGACGAACAGACCATTATGAGGATGATCGTCATGTTGATGGGGGCGATGCTGGCAGTGATGACGTCGATGGTGATTGTGAGATGACTGCTTATGACAGTGATGATGATGATGATGATGCCAATGCGGGCATCGAAGCTCTTTACCGCAGACGTATGCTGGCTTTGTAGCATGAGGAAGACGTGCAGCGCGTGTAGCACTTCACTGCACAGGACAGTGGCCAGTTCTTCTGCTGGAGTCGACTCACTGAGGAACCCCCGACCCACGAATGATGAACTAAGCCTCGCGGCCGAAAGCTTCAGCCCCAAGCTCCCCATGCACNNCCCCCCCCCCCCCAACCCTAAACCGTAATTCCTGGTTCCGAAACACTAAACCCCCAAAACTCCTGAAGCTCCTTTCGGAAACAGTGAACCCGTATCCCGCGACCCCCAAAAGAAAAAACTCCGTGTACACTCCTGATATCTCCTGATTAAACTCCACGCCTCTAGCGGGGGCTTCGAGGCGACGGAGGATGCGAGCGAGACCATCGCGGTGGAGCGGTCCTTGGTGCCAAGAAAGATATCTCCTCGCAGTCCCTATGTAATTATACTAAACCGCCAAACACCATTTTCAATGAGCGTTTTGGATTTAGGGATTTGGCTTAGTTGCTTCAAGTTCGACCAGGGTTTCATGACATGCGGGAGACTGCCACGGACGACTGGCATTTAGTCTTTCGGCAACAGAGGGCTCAATATGGTCAGGGCGTAGGGTGTAAGACGCAGGATTCTGCAAGTAAGCTTCGAGGCTAATCAAAGCCCACCCAAAACTCTAAGCCTTCAATCTTAAACCTTATTAAACCCTAAAGCCGTAAGACCTAAGTTTTGCGCGATACGCATGGGAGTTTTCACGAGACGAGAACCATTTGGGTTTAACGTTTAGGGCGTTTAGGGTTTAGGGTTCAGGCTTCAAAGTATCTCTTGAAGCCCCAGGTTTGGAAACCTGCAAAGTTTCGTACTCCGGAAAAGGTCTTCGCATTTTGGAAACCGGGTGAGAATGTTCACAGTTCTAACGCTCATGATCGCACCTCAACATACGACTCTCCGAAAGTCCCGAAAACCTAAAGCTCTAAAGCCACAAAACCTAGGCCGTAAACCCCAAAGCTTAAAAAACCCAAACCCTAAACCCCACGACCAGAATCCTGACTGAGCCCCAAGAAAGGGGGGGGGCCTCGGGAAGCATCGTCGTCGCCGCGGAGAGCCGGCCCTTCGAGATACCGGTGTCTGCCTTTGGCTATCGGGTTTATGGTTTAGGGTTTAGGGTTTAGGGCTTAAGGTTTAGGGCTTAGGGTTTAGGGTTTAGGGTCGAAATCGGAGCTTCAAACGGTTCTTCCTGTTGGGAGAAAAGCAGGTGCTCCAGGTGAAGCATTGAAGCTTCTCATTTTTTGGTTTAAAGAGTTTCATATGGGAGGCTTAAGCCTCCTTAAGTAAGAATGTGCCGTAAATGATCTTAACTGTTCTCCCATAGCTTGATGGAACATGTTGATGATTTTGGAGTCTCCTGTATCCGATGGGGCTTTTGGCTCTAAGCGTAGTTTGGGGGTCTGTGAGGTAGGGGATATACCTAGAGACTCCAATACCCCTTAATTAGGGAATATGCCTTAAATTATAGTAGGATCCCTAATATGATTTAAAGTCTATTCCTTAATTAAGGGATATTGGAGTCTCTGGGTAGCTCGCAGGAATGATAGCAGTTCTGCTATGGTTCTCACAAGCCTGGAGCCCGAAACCTCTTGTCACGTTAGGTTCTGGGCGTATGTGGTTTTAGTTGAGCTACCATAAAGCCATGTCCTTTGCTGCCGTCAGGAGCTCCAACTTGGTCCATATCGACACGCAGTAACCTTTAATGCCATAACCTTTCAAGCCTGAATGAATCCTAAATCCTAAAACTCCCTCAAGAGTGCACCCTAAACTCGAACCTTCAACCTCAAACCCTGCGCCCTGAAGCCCTTGTTTGTTCCCCGTTCCAAGGCCTCTGTTCTCAAGAGCAGGAAGGATGGCTTTCGCACGGTGGGCGGCGCCTCTCTGGCAGTTCTTCGCCGGCTGGAGGGGTAGAGGTAGCGTGCTACAAGAGCTCCTGTCCTAAAACCCTAAACCCTAAACCCTAAACCCCTAAACCCTAAACCCTAAACCCTAAACCCTAAACCCTAAACCCTAAACCCTAAACCCTAAACCCTAAACCCCAAAACCCTAAGCTGAATCCCGGAGACTCGAGAGCAGGCCTGGAACATGTCACCGGCACGCTGAGCTTTCTATCCCTAACCTCGAACCCATACTTGGAGGTTCATGGGTAGTTATATGTGGAGTTATAAGTTCCCAAATATAGGTTATAACTGTAGTTAGCCTACTTATAACCCTACTTATAACTACCCATGAACCTCCAAGTAACATCGGAGAGCCCTGGACCTTAACCTCCAAATCGCGTTACCTGAGTATCTGATGGAAAATCGTGGAGAATGCCGCTCATTCATTCTGGAAGTGCGGCCCGAACCCCAAACCCCACAAGAGAGCTAAACGACCCTGATAGCTAAGTGCCCCACTCTAAACACTCCGAAGCCCAAAAGTCCCGCAGAACGCCCCAACCTCTGCGTCAGATCGGGTCCAGCGAGCATTCCGGGGAGGCGATCCATACACCGCCTGTGCTGGAGGGTGTCATGTTTGTAATCCCCGCTTCGTTGGAGCTGGCCCAAATCTCTCTGTAGTGATGTAGGATGTAGAGGTCAGGCTTTCAGGCTCATCTGCTGAAAGAAGCAGGGCCGTAAGCCCTGTGCAGTAAGAAATCAGCTTCCTTTGGAGACCTTCTACGGACGAGTTGGGTTGTACAGCATCGGCTCGATGAAAGCCCCAGATCCGAAGGTTCTGGAGAGAATCCTGCACCCTCTACACCACGTGAAATCATATCCGCTCATGTCGACCCATATATCGCCACGCTGTTTCATACCTGGTTTGCTCATGATTGTAAAGCCACACAACAAGCCGAACCGAGAACGGCAAAATCAAGCCCAGCACAAATTTCCTTAAGTCGTGTATACCCAAATTTTACCAGCCCGAAACCAGAAACTCTTGGACTTCGAGCTGCAAGCCTTGAACCCAAAAAGCCTGGCGCCCTAAGATAGGGGCCTGAACACCTAGAATAGGGTTTGGGTGGTATATTATACGATACTCATAATGAGGAACCCCCCCTATAGTAATGCCATCATCCAGGAAGCCTCTGAGGTTGCTGGGTCGCTGAGCAACAGCCGCCAACGCTTCTTTCGAGCGAGGTCCTGCGACGGAGCTTACGACAAAAGCCAGGTTGGGAAGCAAGCATCGACGTGACGCTTGAAAAGGGCGACTATGATAGACTATAAGCATGCACAAGTAAGCAAATGCATGCGTACCTAGATCCCAAGAGACTCCGAACTGAAACTGCATCGAAACCGGGAGCAAACAAGGTCAATTGTTGTTTCAAGCGAGGTCAGGCTATCCAAATCAAGGAGCGCCCCCGTTCTACCTGACTACGGAAATATGCGCTATAAGCCATGCTCAGACAAAGCCTCGAAGCTTCAAAGAACCTTTCCGATCAAAGCGTACTGGGCTCCCTTACTGTAACCCCGAGCTGCCGCGAACCCGACACTCTGAACCCCTATCAACTTTTAACCCGTAAAGCCCTATAAGCCTTAAAGCCTCAACCCTAAACCCTAAACCCTAAATCCTAAACCCTAAACTTAAACCCCATAAGCCTTAAAGCCTCAACCCGGAGGATGACAGGGACCTTCGCCTCAATCTCGGCGAAAGCCACGGGACTGTCGAGCACCAGGCGGGTGGCGGGTGCACCCGTCCGGTCTATCACCTCCGCTAACCGCCAAAACCTACTTTTTTGTAGGGTCCCTATAAATCCCACATTAAGGTTTATAATAGGAACCTACAAAAGTAGGCTTTGGTAGTTTAAGGTTACCATTAGTGGGAAGGAGTACAGTGTTCAGAATTCTTTGGGTATAGTCTGCTTGCGCAATGCTGTCGGAAGCCAACAAGTTGCAAAGGTCATGGCTAGAGTTGCCTTGCGGCTTGTCCTGCTATAAAATACTACCACTACGACTACAACTTGTTCTGGGGACATGGGGCTCGAAGGTTCTCAAATTATGGCGAAACTGTTTAATGTCGAACCCGGCATCTAAGGTTTCCCTTCACCCACCATTACCGGTCCCCCACTCGAGACTGCATGGGTTTGGACTCAGTCATTGCAGATTTTGTGGGATGTTAAGTTCCTTGCGAACTCAAAATCGGGCTTGTGTGAAGGCTCAAACAGAAATATGTTCGTCGTAGTTCCTTGCAGATTCGATTCTCGTACCTGGTGTTGACTTATAAATAAATCACTGAAAAATGTTGGTAATTGCTTGGGGCTTGGGGTCTACAATAGTCTATGCTCTTCGAAAATTCAACAGGACACTCCGAACAGAACACTCCGAGGGCTTTGATTTGTGTTGTATTTCGGGGGTTTCCTGTCTTCTAACAGTTTATATTGAAGAAATACACAAACATAAACAATCCAATCCCGAAACCTATGTCATAAGGCCTCAACCCCAAAGCCTCAAAAGCCCGAATGAACTAAAGACGCAGCCGTCGAACCCACAGCCCCCACCCAAGGAAAGACACGACCCACCTTAAATCTGGCACATGAAGAAATCTTCAAAGCCGAAATGAAGCTCAAACCCTAAACTAAAATCGAAAAGAAGAGCGAAGCCGCACATCGTGAAGTCCCTTCAGTCCTGTACAGCCCCAGAACCCCCTGAATGCCGCAGCTTCTGACATCTACCCAAAGCCCAAGAAACCTAACCTTCAACCCCAGTCCTGAACAACGTCTAACGACAAAACTGATGCTGGCCTCAAACCTCAGCCGACGGCCCTCAGTAACATCCACCTGCCACGCCGATGTGTTTTGCTGCTTTGCTTATGACGTTTCAAGTGTATGTTTTTCCTTTCGCTTCCTTGCCCTTGAAACGCTGAAGCGTCACCCCCGAAGTCATAACATCCCTAAGCTCTGAAGCCCCCAAAGTGTGAGCAAAGGAGCACCTGGTTCTGTAGACCGCTTCTCGAAGCTTGCAACATGATGGCATGATTTTCGCGGAGACGGAACCGAACCATGAGATCAACATCCTCTCCATGGCTCCCTCGGCTCGCAAATTCATGTCGGGACGCTTTTTGCCCAATAGACTCTCGGGAAATTCTACTCCGGCACGTGGTGTCGCAGGTCGTCGTAAAGCCCGGAAGCTTGTGTTCCGGGGCCCAAGATCATGAGGGCATTAGATGCAACACTTCTGTTTTGAAGCTTTTTATAGGATTTGACACGGGCCGCGCCCGGCACTCTGATAGCTGCGGCTGGAAACTTTCGGCCGCGAGTGTACAAGGACTGAATCAATGTGAGATGCCCGCCCTTGGAATCCTGAACCCTCCAGTTCTTGAAAGCAAGACCTAACCTTACGAACTGTTGGCTTTAGTAGCTTCCCAAGAGGGTTAACTATGTACGTCTATATGTGTATACTCGACGGACCTTATAGCAGTCACTGCAGTTAAGGGATTTTAGGTAATGGTAGCTGAACACAAAGACCATAGCCAGTCTGGGCTCTGTGCAGTTCGGCTCTTCGAATCTAATCTCGTGGCACTGCAAGTGGCATACCCAGGCGCTGGGACCATTCGCGCTGTGCAGAGAGCTGGACGTAGCGCTTCCAGTTGTTCACGAGCTCCGGGCTGGCCGCAGGAAGCGCCTCGATGAGCAGCCGATAACTAGCGTGTATAAGTTGGTAGCGGGACTCGTCGATCTTCTTCACTGGACATGACGATGCGTCAAGCCTGAGTCCTGCGTAGGATCCATACCGTGCAGATTTCCAGAGTTCGAAAATGCCCTCCGGACCTTGTGTCACCAAAACGTCCGCGTGCCAACCGTATGGAGCCACCACCCACTTGGCAACGTTTTCGAAGCCTGCCTGGGAAGAATCTACGACTCGCCACCCGCCGGGAACATCAACAACCAACCCCTCCATGTCTTCTCCTCTTTCTCGGCTGTGCGGATGGGCCGGCGGCCACACGGAGAAGGTGCGGCCATCATACTGAATGCAGTTCTGAGTGGGCAGTGGTGTTGCTTCCCCGCTCACCTCCATGGATTCTTCGTGCTTCCCGTAGATGATGTCAATCCTGCTATCATGCTTGACTATGCGGTAGGCTATGTATGCAGTGGCAATCCTCTTTCCCGTGCTTGTTTTCTCGATGAAATGGACACCTTTGCCCTCATCGCGAATCAACGCATTCTTAAATGGTGCTGCTTCAGTGTCCCAGAGTTCGAGCTCTTGCTTCAGCCCGTCGACTGCCTGGTGCCAGCGTTCCACCTGATAGCCTTTGTGATCGACGAACCGCCGTCCGCATGACTCGCTCGAAACAATTTTCCCACCGTTCTGTTCCACTTTATGCTGTGCCTTAGTGTAAGATGACAAATCCCAAGGCTCCTGGGCTCCAGCCCGTCATTCAAGGCTCCAGGACTGTTTTGCGCTTGATCTGAGACTTTTTGAATAAGGTACCAATTGCAGACTAGGCGCATCCTGTACAGCTTTATCAGTGGCAGCTCCCTGCCCAGTGAGCCAGGACTTAGCGCTGTTGAGCTTGTGCTGGAGCTGCTCCCAGGTCGCTACCTGGATGAAAGCCCGCCATCGCCTTGATCTTCCGCAATGCTAGTGGGCCATACCTCAGCTCTGTGGCCCACACAGAAACAACCCGTGCAACAGAACTCCCATGCCGTCGCACAATTCAATTCAAGGTAACTTGCAGCAAGGCACCTCAAAGCAGACATAGCAGCAGGAAGAGACTTGAGGAGATCTTTAACGTCTGGGCCATCTGATGAGCAGAAGTGACGCAGATGCCCCTGCAAGGAGGTTGTGCCCGAAGTGGGGGGCACAATCCCCAAGCCAAAGATGGGCTTTGATCCGCGCCGAGCCAACTGGAGCACCCGGTGCATCTTGCTGCGTGGGATGCGCCGGAAAGTCAATGGTAATGTCGGCCAAGGTCTGGAGCCAAATGCTACGGGATGCTCCATGTCATGTGTTTGGTAGGATGAGGCTACCTATAATCGCAGCAAGACAGTTCGAAGCAGGTTTAAATGCGTGCAAGCAGGTGCGGTTCCCGCATATTTCACATAACCGGATGCACAGCATACAGTACACGCGAGTACTAGCATGCTTCAACCCCGAGCAAAATCCATCAGCACTCTGCCTCCAGCGCCTCTGTGGGAGCAAAGGCCACAGAGCCTTTATCATCCTCGACGCTTCGAGTTGGGTGTGGGCGTCAGTGCTGCTTGTTTATAAATGCTAAAAATCTCAAACCAGCTTGTCTCGGGCCGTGGGGTCTGAAGCTGTAGGATCGCCGTCGCAACCGCTTTAAGTGTCACAGCAGTAGTTCAGTAGCGTCGTAATGGCAGTAACAGTGACAAAAGCAAAAAGAAAGTGGAAGGCCGGCGTTGTCGTCGTTGCCCGTGCCCGGCAGCAGTGGGTCCTGGATGCCCTCTCGGATGATGGTGTCCGGCCTTAGCAGCATTCTGTCCAGCGGTCCATGGAGCATGGTTTAGAAGGCCTTGCGCTGACATGTTGGATTCGGCCAACGAATCTTGTACCGAAGGAGTCAATGCACTAGAGAAAAAAACTCACAGGATGGACTCTCATCAACATTCAAAGCTGGACACAGCACATTCTCGTGTGTTTTGCGGTCACAAGGCCTTTTCGAGATGCAAGGTTTGCATCAAGACTCATCATGCGCATACAGCTGGCCGTGCTGCTCATGTTCTTGCGCTTCTCTTCAAACTCATGCCGCGCTTCAGCTCACATTGCAGTTTGACTGCAGCATTGACTGTTACCACTGCTATGGCAATGTACACAGCGGACAAGTGTCATAGAATAAGAGGTAAGGCCCAACAAGCGAACCTATACATGTATACATATGCGCACACACACATACGCACACACACACACATACACATGCACACATCCATACATACATACATACA